AAGCATTCGTAATCTAAGTATGGATGGAAATGCAGAATGTCCCAAAAGTGTCGATGTTATTTAAAATTTTTTAATTTAAAAAAATTATTAAAACTTAAAACAGCACTGAGACTTTTGGAACATTGTGTGTATGTGTGTGTGTGTGTGTTAATGAATATCATACATCATGAATATACTCACCTAGGAATGCAACCTCAGAATCACCATTGACTCTTCAACCCCAAACCCAACTAACTGCCAAGTCTTGTGATTCTACTTCTGCAAAGTCTCTCATGTATCTTTCTCTCCATTCACATGGGTACCAACCTAGTTTAATCCCTCATCACTCCTCCCCTCTTTGTCTGTTCCAGTAGTCTCCTAATTGGTCTCTGCTTCCAGTCTCTCGCCTTTCCAGTCCATCAGCATAAGTCCAATTGTCATTCTCTTTTCAAGAGTGTTATTGGCTCCTGTTGCTTCTAGGATGAAATGCATAATCTTCAGCTTGGCACTTGAGGTCCTCACAGTCTGGCCACAGCCTGCCTTTCTAGTCTTTGTCCACATCACTCACTTCACACCCTCCATTTCAGTCAAACTCATGTACTTGCTGGTCTTTATATTTGGTATTCTACTTCCTATCTTTTTGCCTTAACACAGAAGGGTTCCACATTCCCAGAATGTTCTCTCTCGTCACCTCTGTCCTTGGAATCCTTAAGATCTTTCAAAGTCTTTACTCAGATACTGCATCCTATAGAAAACCTTTCTCTTCTTTTCTCCTTCCTCAGATTATATTGCATTTAGTTACCTATTTGTAACATTGTATCCCCTGTAAAATATTGGCTCCTTAAAGCAAAGGACTATTTTTTGCCTTATTTTTGTGTTATCTAGCATCTAACACAGTTTAATGCCTAGAACATAATAGGTGTTTAGTAAATACTATGAATGAATTATCTCTTCTCAAATTATACTATATTTATCTGTTTGCTGTTTTACTCATTTCCCCACTGTAACCCCTAAGGGGATGTATTTGGGGGGAAGTGACAGAATATGTCAGCCTCTTAAGGTCAGGGATAATTTTTTGTCTTGTCTTTTTATCTATCAGGATGTCTAAATATAAAGAGGAACTTAATAAAATGTTTACTAAATAAAGACAAAATGAATGAGGCATATGTATAGTCTATAAGCTTTAGTTTCATTTATTACTTGATTCCTGAGCCATATTTTTTTGTCCTCCTTCCCTCAGTCTACTTTTATATTGAAGTCACAGTATATGTTGATTTAATTTGGAATATGTTTTCAAGTTTGTCCTAGAATTTACTACCTCTTCAGCCTTAACAATAATCTAACTGTAAGGTGAATAAAAAAGAGTGAATTAAAAATGTTCAGACTAACTGGAAAAGACTGTCAGTAAGTGGATAGAATTAATAAGAGGAACCAAAAATAGAGATGAAAAATATCTAGTGATTAGCTGAAGGGATCAGTGTTTGGGATTTTTTTCTCAATTAATCTTCCTTGAGCTTTCTCTCCGAACCAAGAGTTTGATGTCAAAATCTTTAATAAAGTTAGTTCAGGAAGGAAAAGAAGCTAATTAATGCAGTCAATGGATCCTGAATATTATTTATCTAACTGTTAAATATTCAGTTATTTAATGATATTAGTAAATTGCACCACTACTATAGGAAATCAGAGAATGCTAGTTATTGCTTAGTACCTAAGAGAATGCCTTGTGTATATACCAAATGCTTATTAATGAGTATTTGTTGAACTGAATTGAAGTTTGCTTATATCAGGTTTCTGTCCTGTCCTGTGTTATTAAAGTATTGGAATTTCATGAGATCACTGATCTTTTCTGGTCATTTTCCACTGAGTCTTTTCAGTTCTTGTACTTTTTTTCTAACACAAATGGATCATAATTTTTAAAAATACCCAGAATGAGCACATGCTTTTGTATAACCTATGTCGTGATTATGACAAAAAATTATGAAATATTTATTACCTATTTTTATAATAACACATGGGATTTTAATAAGTTATCTCTAGGGTGTCACAAATTTTGATCCATTAATTGTATCCAATTCTTATCATAATTGTCACTACATTAATGAACTTTGATTTCTTCTGGATGTGAGTTACCAGTGTGAGAAGTTCCAGTTCAGATCTCATACTGTGTAGTTTTAGTAAATTCCTATGGCTTAGAGGTTAAGTTACTTGCTGATGGGCACATAGCTATTGCATCAGAGGTTCCCAATATAGCACTCCATCTACTATGCCATGTTGCCTCTCAATTATCATAAAATATATGTTCATAAAAAATGTAACTTGTTTCTTGGAAAAATGTTGGTTAAAAACTTGAAATTATTGATCATCTAATTGATTACAATATAATTGTTAAAGAGGACCTCTCATTAGAAAATTCCTTAGTAAATTCAGAAGCAGAATATTTAGAAAAACCTCTGCCATCATTTACATAGAGCAAGGACTTCCCCCATTCATATTTCTGGATTTCCTAAAGTTATTTTCTTGGTTGATTTTACTTTTACTCATTTCATCTCCAACCTGTCTCCATCCTAAGCCCTTTTCCTACCCTTATCCTAATTTCTGGCCTTGCTTTCTAGTTCTATTCAATTTTTTTCGTCACAAGGCCCTCCCTCTTGCTCTCAAACCCCCCTCCCCCAATCCTTCAACATGATTTACAGGTATGCAATGTAAGAGACAAGTGGTCCTGGAGAATATGGCTGAGAGATGCTATTCACAGTGTCAAGTGAAACAGATAACTTTGAACAGATTGGGTAGCCGTAAGTTGTCCTAGGACCTCTAGTAGTACATAAAAATCAAGGTCGAGGCAGAGTGAATAAAAGACTGAAAAGCTGAACTATTTATATTTATCTAATCCCTGGCAACCAAATATGTTATATTCTGTAGTAAAGGACTTTCTGCATGCACACAGCCTGTTAATCCATCTACTCAAGAATCTGGCCAGGTGGATCCAAAATGGGTACAGTTACACGGAGTTTAATGTGGCATCTGATCAGATAATGCTATGATGGAAAATGTTTTGGTATGAGAGGAGCCAGAGAAGTAGACGAGAGTTTTTCCATCAGTGATAGTGCCAAGAAGGAGATAATTTTTTCAAGTTTGCAGGATTATATAGAATTCAATTTCTTTATTATTGCCCTAATCAGGCACCTTTCATATTAGACAACTGTAACCTACAGATGGTTTTTCTATCTGGTATTGTTAAATTTAGTGGAATCAACAACCCCCCCCCCAACCTTTATTTTACTGACCTCGGCCATCATGATAATAGAGACACATGTATTGTTAACAACAAAGGCTATCAACTCTCATGTTCAAAAAATTTAGAATGTTTTTTAGAGCAGCAAAAAGCACATGTTGCTATCCTGTAAAAGAGTCGATTATTTTATGTATGTATGTTGAAGGGCCATTAGAAAATAAAAATTACATAAAATGAGAAAGTACTTCATGAGTTAGATTTAGATTCCCCATTGCCAGAATGTTTTATTAAATAATATTGAATTCATTTTTCTTGTTCTAAATGTCAATGTGATTCAATAAAAAATGTTTAAAAAAGGAATAAGCTAGTATACAATTTAATAATTAACAAGAACCATTAAATCACAGTACTAGTCTATACCTTTAAAAATAATATTGGTGTTGCAGGTAAATTTTTTACAGTTATAGCACTGTGTTGATAACCAACATTGATTTTAAATTTTTGACATTATAGAAGCAGAAAACGTAAGAGACTGAAATTTCAGACGTGGAAATACTGCTGAGGCAGCATTAACAGAGAATTGAATTAACATTAAGTAGTGTTCAGTGAGAGAAGATATGCATATGTAGACTTTGTAGAAAATCAAAAAGGAGATATTTTTATTCAGAATGTCAACAAACATTTTGGTATCTAAAGTATAGTTTGTTTTAATCTCTATCAGATAATGAAAGGCATTCAGGATTCCTCCATTGTTTTTTTTTAATGCAGTATTGCATTCTTCTAGAAATAGTTTATAGAAATTGTTAACAAGTGATAGCCAGATTTATTCAGGAAAATTGTTCATTTCCATTGATATGAGAGAAATTTGGAAAGTAAAAGACACTTGATGCAAGGTAATAGTGAAGACATGACGATGAAATTCAGGGCGGCTGTTTATTGTATTTTACTATAATTTTTCATTAAGCATTCTCTCAATCACTATTTCAAATTAAGGTCAGCAGTGTTAGTAGATTAAACCCTTTTGTCTATTCCTTTTATTCCAAACTATTATTTTCTACTCCCTTTATCTTTCCTGTCACTGATGAATTCTTTATACCAATCCAGTCTTTATTTTCAGAAATCATTTATTGTTCATAGAAATAACATTCTTTAGAAAAAAGTTAAAGCATAATAGTTTATCGACATAAAGTAATATATTAGAAACCAAAATGATATTGATAGACTCTGAAGCAAAAGACTTTTGTGTGTATCGGAGTCTGCAAGGAATTACAAGATCATAGTGTGAAAGCAGGGTAGTTAAATTGGATATAAAACGAAAGAATTCTGACAAGTCAAAGAAAGATTGCTTTCTTTTCTGATGTACAATCCACTGAAAATTAGTGGGTGTTAGTCCTTAAGTAGCTAACAGTGAACCCCAGGTATCATCTCTCCTGAAGCACAAAAATAGGAAGTCTAAGAAACTTGTAAAAGATGTCCTCAGGGATTCCTCCCTTTTTTCACTATGATCCCTCTAATCCTTGAATTGTCAAACCACATGGAAAATAATAGGGCTTCATCGTTCTAAGACTTACATAAATAGTATTGTGTTTAAAAGAAAATTTGAGGTTTTTCCCTATTTCCGGATAAGGGTAGACTGTTTTCAGTTGTGTAAAAAAAAAAAAGTCCAAATAAGAAATAAGTTTGTGTTTCCTTTTTGATATAATATTATCATCTCTGACTAAGCAGGCTGCACTCAATTAAAAAAAAAAAGAAATTACAGCCAATATTTTATTTTCCCTTTTGGAAACAGATGATTCAACGAGAAGCAGATGTAAAAAATAAGGTAACTGCTGTGGCGTTGACAGACTCTGTTCACAATGTGTGGCATCAAGAAGCTGGCAAAACTATTCGGGAATGGATGAGAGAGGTGAGACTGAATTTTCTTAAGTGCTGAGATGAATTGGGTAGGTGTGAGTCTTTCCATCTTGAGCCCCTGCCTCCTACCACCCTCCCTGCAGCCTCCATTACTATGGACAGAACATTCAGACTCTAGAGGAAACAGCAAAGCACAGATATAATTGAAATAATCACAGAACACCTTATTTTGAAGGACAAACAATTTTTCAAAAGCCCGTTTGTTTTTCTTCCCTTTATAAAATTATGCATGCCTATAAAAAGAACGAGAACTATGGTTGAAGAAGGTCTCACTGTTAGATTTTTTTTTTAACCCCTGATGTTTAATTTTGGCACCAGCTGTTAAGCATAGTGCCATTTAATTGCAAGGAAGAGGCTTAATGTAAGCTCTATCTCATCCCTTTCGTACTGAAAAGGAGGTCAGTGTATGCCACTCCTAAATGGATTGGCTGCCCACTGCCAGTAGGGGGAGAAGATGGAATGAGTAGGAATGGGTATGAGCCAGACCCCAGAGCTCAGAAGAACACAGGGACTGGCCAGGGTCCAGCCTCTGGCTAAGAAAGCTTTTTTTCACTACTTCTAAGGGTAAATGAACCTGAAAACTAGCTTGAACTCATTGAACATGCCCTGTTTTCCCAACTTTCATCCCATTATTTCCCTTTATACTATTACAGGTGTCTGCCTGAAAAAATACCTTTTCCTTATTTGTATTTACCTTTTTGGATATCACACCTAATTGGCATGCCCTATTCACTCCCTCAACTGTATTTCTGTTAAATCATCTGCATCTTTAATCACTTGATATTCCTGGATTTCCTCCAGTTTGCTTACATTCTGATAATAAGGCAACCAATACTTGATTCAGCCAGCCCTCTGCCATGAGAAATGTACAGTAAAGGGGTGTGCCAGTCATGTTGTGCTGTGAGCACCAAAGAGATAACAAATAGAGCTATCTTTCAGTTCTTAAAAGGAATCTGCCATGTAATTCCGTAGTGTTGGCAAATTATTACAGTAACTATAAGTGTTATTGTTGTTATTATTTTATATCAGAAAATTCGGTCTTACTCTTCAGCAAATAAACTTATGCTAGTATTTTTTTTTCTGCTTTCCTCCTATGCTTTAAACCTATATAATTTTCTCCCTACTCTAACATCCAGCTGTCTTTCAGCATTATTGTTTTTTCATGTCTCTCTGCCATTAAGTAGCTGTATTCGTAATTGATTTTTCCCTGGTTCCTGGATTTTTTTCCAAAGGATCATCTTATTTTTTGTTTGGATATGTGTTATTTCTCTCTTCTCATTTTACATTTCCCAATATAGTTTCAGTAGTGAAGTTAATACCCTCTCTTCCTCATTGATAACAAATTATATCAAACCTCATATATCTAATAGCTTTTCACTTTCCCCAAACATGGAACATCACTGTTTACCTTTTTGTTTATTGAGACTTCTCGTTCCAAGAAACAAATCTTATATCACAAGTAGTTGAATGAATATTTTGATTATTATTTGAGACAATCAAGTGTCCGATTCACATTTAGAATATTACTCTACATTCCTTCATTTGAGTTACTGAAAGAGTTGATCAGGGGATTTGCCATCAGGGCTCCCACCAATATTATTACAAATATAGCTGTATTTTTTAATCTATAAAAACCTAAGTTTTTATGTAGGTCCCCTTATTTTTTCCTGTCACCCTTCTCCCCCGGCATAAAAGACATGGTTTGTGTTTTCTCCTTATTTTAGGGAATCTTTGGTGTGGTTGTCTTAGACCTTGTTTTGCCACTAGCTAGCTATGATCATCAACAAATACAAATGATCACATAGGTGATAAGGGAGATAAAAAATATAATCCCAGGCAAATCACTGCTTCTCTGTGAGCCTTGGTTTCCTACCTTACCTGCCTTCCAAGGTTCTTCTCAAAAACAGATGAGAAGATAAATATGAAGCATTTCAAAATGTCTAAGGCTTTATGCAAATATAATATATTATTGTTATTAAAGCATATATTCAAATCTCCTTAGGTTGGGTTCACTCTATACTAGTGCAGGTCATTATCCATCCATATCATCTCATTCCACGAGATTTTCATCTAGCTCCTTCTTCTTTTGGTATTTTATCTTGAAGTTTTTTATTATTTTTATATTTCATAGAGAAGATTTTTATATGAAAAAATTAATCATAACATTTAGTATTTATGTAGTTTTAAGATTTGCAAAGTGTTTTACACAGGTTATCTCACTTGAAACTCAGGCTGTCCATTTATTTCCAGATCTTACAAAAGACCAATTCATCTTTTTTTTTTCTGGCAATATATGTCCCAGGTTATGTCTTTTCTACTTCTTGAGGCAAAGTATCGTTGGTCACATAATACAGTCCAATTAAGCCTCTACCATATGTCTTCCCATATTCCTTTATGTTACTGAGATTGTGGTGTTACTTGATTTGTAACCATATAGCATCACCAGAAGGATATGGATGCCAAAAAGATAGACATTTATATGAGAGAAGATTGGGATCATTGATTGAAAGTAATACAACTCTGAACTTAGATTAGGCATACTGATGGGCTAACTCAAGGGACTGCCCATTCAATTATATGTCATAATCTGGGAAATATCCATTTGTTTGTCACTTAGCTTTTCCTCTGAAGATTGCTAGTTTGATTTCTTTAGCATACCCTGGGATGTCATTGAGAAGGTGCTGTGATATTCCTGGTCAGTACCACTAGCGTGTGCAAACAAGAGTATCTGGAGAACCGCACTGTCCTTAGGGAGTCACATCTCTATTTGAACTTCATACAGAAATTCATTCATCCATTTGGCAAGCATTTATTTATTCACCTTCTTTGTGCTAGGCAAAAGGGATACACAAAACAGAAATGAAATTATTTCTTGCCCTCAGGGAGCTTGCATTTATGTTGGGGAAAATAATAAGTGAATCCATAATATATAAAAAGTCATTTGTGAGAAGGAGACCACTAGCAACTGGCAGTGGGGAGAAATAAGTAAAGGCTTCATGTAGGAGGTAGCACTTGACTATTGAAAGATGATAGAGATTCTAAGGAAGCAGAAGTGAGAAGGGAGTGAACTCCAGGTGTGACAGCCTTTGCAAAGGCACAGACATAGACTGTTTTGTATGGGAAGCAGCAAGTAGAGCAGTGTGCCTGAAACTTAAAATGGGAAAGGAAATAATGGATAATAATGCCAGAATGGAAGGCTGGAGCCAGATAGTAAAGGACTTCAACTACAGAACAGAGAAGTTTGTTTGTATTTTAGTGTGGAGGCTTAAGGAAGCCACTGGAGGGTAGGTGTAGGGAGGAGTGGAGAATTCAGAGACCTGAGGCAGAGAAACCAATTTGGTGCCAACTGTAATAGCCCAGGCAAGAGGTGGTTAGTGTCTAAGCTAAGCCAGCAGCCCTTCTCCACCAGTGTTAGACACTCTTGACAAATGCCTTCCTGTTTTGTGTTTCACTTTATATTGATAATCACTGAACTTTAAATTTATGTTTGTATGTATTTAGAAATCTAGTATGACCTTAATAGTTTTATGGAACACTCCTTGTTGGTGAGGTGAGAGCCTTCAAAGGTGTATTTTGACCTGCCAAACTTAATGCTTTTTTTTCTGTAATGAACAAATAATAAGCACAGCAGGATTTTTTATTCTCTACCCCCCTCAGCCAGTTGACTCACAGGGTCTTATGAAGAGGGTAATCTGTAAAGGGCTGACTGTTAACTGCTGTGGAAACCATTATCACAGAGATGAGAAGGTAGGCATAAGGGTCAGTAGTTGGTGTTGGTTGTTACTTTTTTTTTTTGAAGTGGTAGTAAAAAAGACAGGAACTGGACCTGTAATTTCGTTTGTTTAGGGCACTTGCAGGTGAGGAAGCTGCCACTCCTAATGCAGACTGACACCTTTTCTGCACTTATGGTCTTATGGAGGGTTACCTAGAGCGCTGAGAAGTGAAGTTATTTGCCCAGGATCACATAGCCAGGATATGTCAGAAGTAGGACTTGAACCCAGGCTCTCCTGACTTTGAAGCTACCTCTCTAGCCTCTCTGCCTCATATCATCCATCAGTTTTTCCACTCTCTTTACGTTTTCTTCCCTTTGAGATATCTTAAAAACTGATCTTTGAAAGATAATAACCACTGTTCTTCATAGCACACAAATAATCATGAAAAAGAAGATTATTGGTTTTTCCCTTCATTTGTACTGTACTGTATCCAAAATCATTCCCAAGTAAGGGAAGAGAATATTGAAAACCTATTTTCAGTGTTATTTTATGGTTGGAACTATAGGAAATGCTAATAGTTGGAACCCATGGGAAAGAGTTTGAAGGCTGATGAAGGAAAAGCAACTAGAAAAGGAGACAAGCTGGCTCCCCTGGCCAGGAAGAATTACATTTACTTCAGGTCATCAAACACTTATTATATGTCTTCCATGTATGAGTCTTTGGAAGATCTTTTGATCTTTGGTTTTGTTTCCCTAGCACCTCACAATCCATCTCTTACCTGCTAAATCCAGTCTTCGTTTCTGTGACCATCTTCTGCATCTTCTGACAATCTTGACCTGCCATCCCCACTTAGATATTCTCACCTCCCCTGAATTCTGTGGTACTGCTTTCTCCAGGTTTTCCTCAAATCTGTCCTTTTTCAGCTTCTTTTGCTTTCATTCCCCCGCTGCAAAAACCAGACCTCCAGGGGTCATGCCTGGGAGGAACTAAGCCACTCGGCTGTGACCTTCATTAGACTTTGTAGCACCGTCCTTATCCCTCCCCATCCTTCCCCCATCATTACTCCCTTCAAACAGTCAGTAAGCATTTACTAAATGCTTAATATGTGCTAGGCACTGTACTAATTAATAAGCATTGGGGACACACAGAAAGTAAAAACATGACCCCTACTCACAAGGAGCTTGTTATTATAGAGAAGACAACATGCAAACAACTATGTACATACAAGATATATTCAGTATAAACGGGGAGATAGTATCCCCTCTGATACGTACACAGC